CCCCTCACTTAGCAATCATCTCCTGGAGCAGCTCAGGCCTCACCTGCTTCCAGGATGCCCACTGTGCAGGCCTGGAGTTCCTGAGGCAGCTGGACAGGCCTCCCTGGAGGGCAGAACCTTAGGTGTGTGCTTGAACATCACGTCCACCGGCACACCTGTGCTAATAACTCAGCACTAGAGGTGGGGCCAGTTGTTAGGATTCTATTCCTCTGATCCTATGGCCCTCAGGGAATACAGCTTGGCACAAAAGCCTTGAATAGTTTATTCTCCCTCAGGTCAATGTGTACATGTGATATGATTTAGGCCATCTTAGCAAGTCCCTGGTTCCTGTGAACCTTCCTTTCCTCATGGAGAAGCAGGAGTAATAGGGAGTGCTGCCTACAGGAATGTGGGTGGAGAATAAATTAAATTATGTGGGCTGGGATAGCCAGAATGAGGCCAAACCCATGTCCACACACTTAAATGTTAGGCCCTCCTTCTCCTCTCCTTCATGCCCTTCCACAGTTCCAGAGTTACGATCAACTTCTCTATAGATAAAACTCTGTGTGTGTGTGTGTGTGTGTGTGTGTGTGTGTGTGTGTGTGTGTGTTTAAAATCTGGACTCTGCAAATAAGTGACAACATGCAGTGTTTGGCTCTTCATGCTTTGCTTTTCTGGCTCAACATGATGATCTCCAGTTCCACCCAATTTCTAGCAAATTACATACTTTCAGCCCTTTTTAAGACTGAATAATGTCTCATGGTGCAAATATTCCATATTTTCTCCATTTATCAATAGTCAGGCTTCTGAGCTGGTTATTATGCACAAAGCTTCAATGAGCATGGGTAAGCACTGATGCTCTCTCATGGGTTGATGTAGACATCTTGAATGTGTGCCCAAAGGCATGTTTTTAAAAAGCATAAGAGTTCCCCCTAGAAGTCATAGTTGCTTTTATTAGATTTTTAAATATCAACAAAGTAGACTTTTTTAAGGTTTTAAAAAATTATCTTTAAGTAGTTGTACTAGGCATTTAGTGTGTAAATATAATGCATCTTAGTTACAGCCACCCTTTCTGTCCTCTCCTCCTGTATCCCCATAACCACCTCCCCTCAAGTTACAAAACAGAATTCTGTTGGATTCTCAGATTCCCATTCATTGGAGATTGGAAATATTCTGTTTTTTTTTTCTTTCTTCTCTCTCTTTTTTTTTTTTTTTTTTTGGTAGGTTGTGTGGCTTGAACTCTGGGCCTGGGCGCTGTCCCTCAGCTCTTCAGCTCAAGGCTAGCACTCTACTGCTTGAGCTACAAAGCCACTTCCAGTTTTCTGGTGGTTTATTGGAGATAAGAGTTTCATGGACTTTCCTGCCCGGGCTGGCTTTGAACCTCGATCCTCAGATCTCGGCTTCCTGAGTAGCTAGGATTACAGGCATGAGCCACTGGCGCCTGGCTATTCTTTTTTTGTAAATTGTCAGTTGTGGGGCTTGAACTTGGGGCCTGGGCTCTGTCCCCTGAGCTCTTTTTGCTCAAGGCTAGTGCTCTACTACTTCGAGCCACAGAGCCACTTCCAATTTTCTAGTAATTAATTGGAAATAAAGGTCATCTCACGAGGACTGTTCTACCTGGGCTTGCTTTGAAATGTAATCCTCAGATCTCAGCCTCCTGAACTAGAATTATAGGCTTGAACCACTGTTGCATGGCTTATGGAATTATATAACTGGTTAGCTGGGTTTTTTGGAGGGTATTTTTGCCTTTTTTTTTTGGTGGGGTGGTGGGGGGGTGGCCCTTGGCAATATTCCATGTAGAATTCCATGTGCTAGTGCTGAGGGCTAGACACAAGGCAGGCAAGTCATAGTCCAAGACAGCCTTGGACAGACAATGGCCCAGATCTCTATCACCTATCTCCCCGTCCCAAGCTCCTAGCTTTTCTCTTGGACCCACCCCCATCTAGACCTCTGTATTCCCTGTGTCCACTTTATATTTTGAGTACTTTTCACCATCTAACATACTGTGAAGTTATATGTTTTTCTCTCTTCCACCGTTGTCTTTTTCTCCTTTATTGGACCTTGTAAAAGAGCAATTTTAGCGTTAGCACAAGAGTATACTTTCATGGTTTAGAATTTGTTTTTGAATGTTCACAGGGCAATAACAAACACAGATAGATAGATAGATAGATAGATAGATAGATAGATAGATAGATAGATAGATAGATAGATAGATAGATAGATAGATAGATAGATAGATA